ACATATATATATATATATAAAAGTTTAAAATTTTTAGGGTGCATTGGTTTGCGGAATCTTACATTATAAAGGGAAATATTTTTTTCCAGAATTGTATTTTCACGTTTGGTTCACATAATCTTACATTACCGGAAATACTCTTTTCTCAATAGTAACATTTTTGGGTTAAAATGGTAGGAATGTCATTACCTCCAATTTTAGGTAATCTTTACATTTCTATCAATTTGGAAAAATACCCTTGGACTAATGAATTCTTTTTATAAATATATATATATTTAATATTCAATTTTACTATTTATAATTTATGGGATGAAAAAATAGTATTATTTTAAAAATGTAATTATTATAAATATATTTTACTACCATAATAATTTAAAATATAAATTTAATATACTAATTATATAATTATTATTAAATGTAATTTATTCTCAAAATTAGAGATATATAACGATTAAATATTTGTATAAATTTCATTCAAATATTTATAAATTAATATTAAATTTAACTTTAAAAATATATCATAAGGATAATTGATAAAATATACATTCAATAATCTTATTCTTCTAACTAAACACTGTAATCATATATTCCTACTAAACAAATCAAACAAAGTAATATAATATTCTCATAGTAATATTACATTTTAGTAATATTATTTCTAATGGTAATATTATATTCCGTGAACCAAACTCTTATTAAGAGGAAGACAACCAAGTACTCTATACCCATTGCCCAAAAGGGTGGCTAGCCAGCCACTGGATCCATCTTTGGTGCAACCATGTCGACCATGGTGGGACCATGCCTATATATATTCTGTCATGCATCCACCACACGCAAATTAAATAATTTTTTATAATTATAAGTATTTATTTTATTTATTGACCCGTTATTTGAATAAAATATATAAAAAAATATTAAAATGATCTTATCATCCAGATTGCTTTATCCATAAAGTTTAAGACGCAAATTAAATATTATTTAAAAATATTAACATCTTATACGGTTAAATCAATCGATTAAATAATCTTGATTTGAGAATATAATTATCAATTTCATCTTAATCCAACCTGATCTAAAGCAATTTTGGTAAATAAATAGTAAAATTTTGTTTATCTAGAATTCTAATTTTGAAATGTACCAAACTCAAATGACTTTCCAACTCATATAGTTTTAAATTATAATAATATAAACTCAAACCAAAATGATTAAATACGAATTAACCATATTTAAAGTCAACTTATTGGCTAGTCCAACATAGATATTATACGAAATATTAAAAATAAATGAATTGTTTATATTTTAGTTATTTATGTAAATATATAAAAATTGTAGATATAATATCAATATTGGATGTGAACAGGCTGAATCTACTTGCAAGTGATCGATTTGTCTCATTGATGATGGAAAATTCAACAAAAATGCTTAATCAATCACTATGAAATTCGGATATCTTCCTACGAAGTACACGTTATCAAACGCGTTATCGAACCTTCATAGGTGTTTTCATACTAGATCTTTGGCATATTTGCAAAATACCCCCTCGATGTTTGTTTATATTTTAAATTATATTTAATATTGTTATGTTATGTCAACAAGAATATTAATTATCAATTGGCCACCCTTGTTTCAAAAAATTGAAAGTTTAGAATTTAAATTGCTTAATAATTTTTTTAAAAAACACATTTGAAAAAATAACAAATTTTAAAGGTTTTTTCGTTATTATACCTATATCTTTTGATAAATGCATTGATTAAGTACCAAACCATTATTATTATTATTATTATATTAAAGTTTGAGTAATATTTTATTTTAAAAAATTTATGACCATATATCAAGTATGAAATTTATGTCAATGTTTAAGCTGGATTTTGGGCATGCTGATTACAGGGCTCACTTTAGCTGGATCTTAGCTAAATGTTTAAGCTGAGGAGTGAAGCTAGCAGTCTGTTCTGTTCTATTAGTAGCTGGTCTCAGTTAATGTGATTTGGGATAATATTCTCTGTAGAGGTGAGAAGGTTAGTTGGCATCGGCTTGTATGGTTTTTGGCCATATTCCAAAATTTTCAATGATATCTTGGATGGCAATGTTAGACAGATTGTCAACTAAAGACATGCTTGCAGGTTTGGTATAGATGTTGATAGTGGTTGTGGTCTGGGTTCATTTGTTTCATCTGGGAGGAGTGTAACCACAGGCTATTTAGGTAAGACGCTCGATCGATACCATTGTAAGTAGAATTAAAGAAGCTGTAAGTATTAAAATGTATGGATGCCGCATGAATAGGCTAGATGCAGTAAATAGACAGTTGTGTATAGATTGGGGTTTGATGTAATGGGTTGATGGGTTATGGTTGTTGCAGCTAGTCTGCATTCTTTGGATGAATAAAAATTTACTTATCCAAAAAAAAATAATTATGTCAAGTAATTCTAAAACAACTTTTTTTATCAAAATAATTTTATTTTTTAAGGATAAAAGGTTAAACTTTTTATGAAATAAAATAATGTTTTTATCTTTAAAAAAATATTTTTACTGTGAGAAATCTTAGAGTGAGTGTGAAAGGATCAAATATTGAGATGGTCACCATTTCCAATTTGGTACTATCTTCTTTGTCTTATTGCCTTTTTGTGGAAATTTTATCATTTCTTTGAACATAAAAAGTTGGCATTCAAACCATAACTATAAATTCAAATTCAAAATAATTTCCTGAAAACCATATACCATTTGAACATGCACCGGAACAGATTTGTCGGCAATTTTATTAGATTTATCATTTTGAAATTATTTACGTTAATGGTATTTAAAATATTGTTTAGTAAAATAATTTTTTTTTATAAATATATCCCGCAAACCCATGTTTCTTAAAAAGTGTGTTTTATAAGATACGTCTTTACTAACGAGACAATGTTTCCGAACATAGCTTTCAACATTGATAACATTTAAGATTAAAATAAAAAAAAATAAAAATATTGGTCAAAAGTAAGAAAAATGTAACTATCTAGATCTGGTCCATACATTACAATCGAATCTAATCAATTACAAATTTAGTCAAAAAAAAAAACTTTGTGTTTGATAAATTTAAATCATATAAACTAAAAATATCGATAAAAAGAGACAATAGTAAAATTATGTTTCTCCATAATATAAACTAAAAAGGATATAGAAATATGCAGTGAAACAAAAAGGATGAATGATTGATCCTCTTGAGGTCAAGTTCGATCATTTACTGTTTAGTACTATCTTAAAGAGTTAAAAATTAAAAAGTGGATTAAAAAACTCAGTGTGCTCCTTAAGGTGTATAAAAACATGCAGATATTAAACACTTCAGTAAAATATCTGAAAAATGATTTTGAAAACATGCTTACTGCCCCAATCGATCACCAGAATATAGGTTCTCCTGAACCATACACCCACCTGTATACCGGTAAAAACTTTCTGCATAGTATAAGGAATGCGATAAAGACTTATCAATGCACAAAGCAGAAGTGTCTACGATAAGATCTGACTAAAAGTGAAACTTCCTCTAGTAATACCCATGACAATATAATAGGCATGTGTTTAAAAGAAAAAATAATTTAATTTAATATAGAAATAATCGATAATACAAAAATATGTGCACATATCATAAAACAACGATAACTATAGATCATGTATTTAAAGCATGCAATATGGTCAGAAATTCACAGTGATTCAGATAAATAAATCAAAACGGTAATATAACACCATTAGAAACATATATGTATCGATTTGAAAAGTCTGACATAATAGCCTACTAATGAGTCTACATATCACGACCTGCAATAGTGCTATAACCTACGTATCGAAGGAAATTAAATTTCTATCCTCTCAACGTACACGAATTCTACAGATATGTTAGTCTGGAAGCACCGAATCTAATCGTCCCTCGATCGGGTAAAATACAAACCTTCATAAAACTGCATTCCCTGATAGGTTCTATATTCAAGACTTATTAATCAAATTAAAATACTAAAGTCATCTACATACTCAAGTCAACAAGCTTATTTCGAGGCTTTTTGGTTAGAATTTTACGAAATAAGCTACAAAATTCGAAATAGGACATCGTAAAACGTCGGGGTTGAGGTTTTCGAAAAAGTCAACATTGGTTAACGATTAAAATCAACGGTGGTTCAACGGCTCGACTTGATTCGACTCAATTCAGTTCGGCTCGATTCGATTAAGTTTAACTGGACTGATTCAGATCGATTTGGTTCGTACTAGACCGGATTGACTAGATTAGGTTTTAGGCTGGACCGGTTCGATTCAAGCCGAATTGGTTTGGGCCATCTATGCAGGCCCATTATGCAACCTAGTTAATACGCCTGGATCCGGACAGGTTCACAGATGCAGGTCGGGTCAACCCAATTCTAGAAGGCTCTCCCCTAAGCGGTGATGAAGCCCCACGCACCACATCGTCCTGATCCTCCACATCACTAAGACCGTAGTCCATTCACACAACATACATACACCTCATCAAAGAGTGAAGTCTGTGACTGCGTTATGGATGCTATACGGCTAAATATTTCTATAAAATAATATATATAATGTAGCCAATCTATCATGGTTTGCGATAGTATTTTATTACAACGATAGAGCATATAACTCACCTATTCCACACATAAAGCGTGGCTCGATTTAGTCCAAACCATAGTTTGAACTTCTATTAACAAAGCATACAACATGTCCACATAAAACATAACATATCCAAATGACCAATAAAGCTTAGTTTATTTACTATGCAGTCCGAGTGCTATATATGAGCTTTTACAATTACTATCATAACACATTAATGTATTCCTAAACAATCAAAATCATAATTTTCGTGCAAGATAGAACATATCCAATCAACCGGTGGTCGGATCGGATTCGATATTTACAACCTTTGAGGCTGAAATCAAGCAGCTGGTTGACAAGCAAACTGATTTATCGTCTTCGGTTATTGGCCTTTTACTTGTCTTTTTTTTTCTGATTCATATTGGGACTTCAAGCAAAATTAGCTTCCAAGTCGAAAGAGATGACTCCAAGGAACATGAGTTCTGCACAGGCAGTACCTCCAAAGTAGAATGAAAACAATGTAGCTCTTGATGGAGAATTGCCTAATGGAAAAGTCTCGAGTGGTGTTTGAACAATCGAGCCATTAATCCATCTTCCGGGGGTATCTACACAAATGGCAAAATTAGTTGTCTAATCTTCCCATGAACAGGAGCAGAGCATCGGTGATCCGGTTCTGTTGATGAGGATTTTGACTGAAAATGCTCAAAAGTAACAAAATTCTTAAAATCAGTTCCTAGCTGATACTCCACCAGCTATGCCATCTGTTTAGCCTATTAGATTAGATGAGTCAAGCAACGCTGCCGCTGCCGCTGCTCTTGCATGGATGTCTATAGGGGCCGGAGCCTTTAAGGAAGCAACTGAAAACCCTGGCACTTCAAAAGGCAAATTATCCGCAGAATCGTTATACAACCCGGCTAGGGAACTTCATCCACAAGCTTCACAAGTTTGAGGGCAGTTCCCTCTTTATGGTTTTCCCTTGACTCGACTTGTCTCCATTTCCAGTTCAGCCTCCTTGGTCTCCAGCGAAGCAATCTTCGGGTGTTTTGGCTTTGCAACTCTGAGTGCAGTGACGGATTTATCTTATTTTTAGGCATGTATTTACTACAAGTTTAACTGTTTAAGGAAGTTTTAATTTCGGTTCCATTGAAATTGATTAGTATTTGAATTTATTTTATCGTTTACACCACTCGAGTTTACCGAATTTAAGTTAATAATTCGATTTTGTTTAAACGAAATAATTAACTCTAGTTGCGTGTTCATTGCATAAGAGAGCAAAACATTGCATTTTCTATATCATGACAATCTCCCGTCTCATAACTTATGGAACATGATTCACTTATTAGTTGAAATTCAGTGTATTTAAAGAGAACTAATACAAAAGTATTTTTTTTAAAAAAAAAGCCATGGGTTTAGGTTCTTTGTTCATCTTCATCCTCAGCCTCTTTAGAAGAAAGAGGAGGGTCAAAAGGGCTAAAAACCCTGTAAGCAGAGATGGCAGCCAAAACGATGAAGCAGCAAAGGACCAAGACATGGAGAATAAACGCCACCTTCATTTTGCTGCAGAATTTCCCATAACTATTGCAGGCTTCACTCCATGTGATCTTTTGATCTCCTTTGTAAGCCAAGTCTAATATTTCCATCACTGCTGCCCCTGATGTCACCATCAAATATGCTACAATCTGTGCTCAACACACACACACCCATATTTGAGTTCAAAATGTAAACCTCAAAATTTATCAAGTTGATGGTTTTTACCTGATCAGAGACAAAAAGAGCCAAGCTTTAGTGACGAAACATTTGATGCAAGAGGCAATAGCGGCGAAAGAAGCATATCCGGCACAAATGGCACTGGTGAAAATCATGTATCTGTGGAAAGGAAAATTTTGAGTGTTTTTTTAACGATCCAAAAGAAGAAAGAAATAAAAGCAGTGCAGCAAAGAAGTTGAAAAAGCATGGGTTACTTGAGCCCTGTGAGATTGATGAAGTTTATATCTCCATAAATGGTGTTGTGTTCCTTGTTGGTGACAGTTAACCAAATGGTTGCAATACTCAGAGGAATCACTGAAGCCGAAGGGAGAATCCAGCGACTTGAGAAGTGGGTTTTTGTTGTCTGCGCTTTCTGCACTCATTTTTTCTTCAAATGGTATGAAAAACACGCTTTAAGCTCGGAAAATTACAGTGGGAATGACTGAATGATTAAGTGGGTGATAGATAGAGTTGTACATTCTCTTTGGTCTTCAAGTTTTGGGAAAAAAGGAGGCTAGGCGTGATGTTGGGTTGGTAAGATAAGTTGGTGGGAAGAGTGAGAAACAGTGGGGGCTGTGCTTTTTGAGGGAATGGAATGATGTGATTTTTAGGGTAAAGTATACCGCAAAATCATTTAATTATAGGTTTAGAAACAATCAGGTCACTTTTTTATGTGGTGGGTGTTGCCATGAGTGCCTCTTCCTTTTATCCTTCATACTCCTTGAATCAGATAAGGTTAAGCGAAGTTGATTCTGGTTGATCCATGTGCCCTCTATTCATATTAGAACCAACTAGAAGTGGTTTCTAGTAATTCATGTAGCTCATAGTCTACATTTCAATCACTTCAAATGGGAGAACTATCAACAATCTGGGATTTTAGTTTCCCACTTTCTGATCCTTAAAAATCTGAACAAAAAATGTCAAATTCTAGATCTACCACTGGTTGTGTCATATCAACATAATACGCTTGACTGAACTTGAACTATGAGTTTCAAAATGCTCAGATCAACTCATATTTATAATTTATGACTTGGAACAAACATAAACATAGACGGTGATGCTTTAAGATGAAGAAATGAAGTCAAGAAAGGAGAATTTCATCCACAATCATGGAAAAAGAGAGAACATGAGTCAAAAAGTCACTAATTTGCATATCTAAAGGGGAATGATATTGGCAATGGCACTTATTGTGGAGTTGCCTTTCATTTCACACTTACAAAACTCCTCCCTCCTTAAAGAATGTTTTTTTTAATTACAAGACTGTTTCTCTCTTACATCTGTTTTTACATTCACAAATCATACTCTTTTTTATGTCTTCTCCAATGGCAAAAAAATCAAGCTCTCATATAACTGTCTGTTACTTTGCTTCCTCCGGAGTTCAGAGGAAACGTACATCAGAAAGCCGCAGTCCACAAAGCATTCTTGCCTTCCCCGCATCGGCGGTGAACATCTCTCATCCTCTCAACCGACCTGCAAATCCCGCTGCAGGTCCAGTCAAATGAAGCAACACAAACGTTGCCTGCTTGAGCCTTCCACTCGCAATCTGCACCAAATGTTGTCATCATCAATCTTTTGTTTCGGCTCATACAACAGATGGTAATTTTTTCTCTATTTCTAGCTATACTTTTGAGTACAGAAAGATTAGTCATGCACACACACAAACATGAAAAGCCCCGGAGGAAGACGGGGGATGTTACCAAATAATTGATATCATGTACATGTCGGGGTGTTTTACTTTTTCTTTCTTTTATACACAATAATAGGAAAGCACTAGATTAAGCTGGATTGAACATCTAACGGCCCTGGATGTCACGACTTAAAGCAGATGATTAGTAAGAACCACTTAGTGATAACAAGGATGATTCAAGCTAGAACAAATGATTAAGTTCGAACGAAATGACCATTTATTCCAGATAGTAGACCGGGTGTTAACATTTATGACATTACCTGCAGTGCCACAGCAAAGGCTTCGGTCATCTATATGCTCGACATCCAACCCTATAAACCATGATCCCAATGAAACATCTTCATTTGCGTACTTATGCAGCAGGTGCCTAGAAATTCATCATGAATTAAGAACAAAGATTAATAATCATGAAAGAACTTCAAAGATGAAGATGCAGTGTTTTCTCCCGAACATCGGGAACTTACTGGTTAATGGATATGTAGGAAGCTAAATCTTTTGAGATGACATATAGCTGCCCTGTTGCATGGCGGAAATACTTGTTTCCCTCCTCACCAAATTTCCAATATTCAGGTTCTTGATATCGTACTCCCTGTCCAGGAATGACTAGAAAGTGAGAAAAGATAAATATTGGTAACCTTGAGCTTTTAGGTTAAAACATTATTTTGGCTTACTTTTGGGCAAGAACTGGACCGGATTTCATGCAACCAATATAAACCCTGGGCTTGGTTCGATGTCTAGCCAAAGTTGCTCCGAGTGTTGCTGCAAAAGCAAATAGATAGACCAAATTTAAGAAAATATAAGGGGCAGTTTAGTAAAGCTGGTTTAAAAGCTACAAAAAGGCTTTAAATAAATTTCAATTCAACTAAATGAGGCAAAAATCAGGCCTCATCAACAAGATGTGCTATATCCCGTTATTCCGTATTAGTCATCATATTAAACACTTAGCTTTCAAGCTGCCAAAAGGTAATATCCAATCTATCAATCAAATATAGGAAACATGCAGCCACAGCAGACAATGAGTTACATCTCGAAATAGCCATCATTAGAATATACATGATTTCAAGTGGAAAATACACAATGACTGCTACCGGGGGAGAAAATACATTTTTAACATTCACTGGTCTGAAAGACTGTTTTTCTTGAAATGCAAAACCAGGGGGAGAAAATGTTGCATCTTTACCTATTTACATGCACATCATCATCGACTTTGACATAGAAATCGGCATCCCACAAAGCAGCAGCAGTGGTAAAGTATGTTTTTGTCTTGGCTGATAATTCGAGGTAACCCTCAACATGCTCCTGCTCGAATGAAATTTTTACAAAAAATTAAATAAATCCACATGTAGCTGTTCTCAATATATCAAAGTATTATAAATATGCTGTAGACAAGTTTGTAAGTATGCTCGAGCATCTTGATATTGGAGCAAATCAATAACGTTGCAGGAAAAAAAACTTGTATGTATGAACATATACATAAATCTAAAAAACAAGAAAGATCAAGGATAGTACCAGTCGCATAAAGTCACCATGCTTTTGATCTTCTGCTTCAATAGCTCTATCAAGGATACCCCCCGAAGTAGCACTGTGAATCAAACAGATAAAAGTTTAAAGGATTTGGTTCCAGGGATATAGTCCTTGACATCAAACATTTAGAAGGCTATATATAAGCAACAATCCGAGGAATAGTTAGTCAATACAACAAAAGGCTTCATAAAGTTGCCTTCCAAATTAATGGTTTATTGAAGTAAAGACAACCGGATAAAAAAAAATCTCCACATCGGCAGGATAAATAAATGCCTAACTAAACTAGCTCTGAAGTTAAATAAAGTACGCACCTATGACCAATTACAAATCGCATTATGATTCCTTTCTCTTCTTCAAGCTTCTTTCGTTCTTCGCCTGGTTTTCATGCAAGTGAAGGAACAGTACAGATTCATCCCAATAAATTTGTTTAGAAACAAATTAAATGATACCATGAATTCACTGTTATATGGAATAAAAGAGACAAATCTATACCAACCTTGAGGCATCCAAGTAGCACGAACCGAATCTCTTCGTTTTCTGCTGCTAAACGCGGTATTGATGCCTACAACCATTAAAAATTTTCGTTTCCCACTTGCTTCGGGTATTTTCATGTCGCCTGAGATGGGAGAACCATTGATTATTGATTCTTGCACAGCCCTTGTAGCGGCTAACTCCATCTCCAAATTTGATATTGTTTTATCCAGTGTTCTGCATTTTGATAGTCCATAAAAATAACGCCTTCCACTACATTTAACAAAAAGCAGAATGGATATGACTTACTGTATAGCATTATGAGTCTTTGAAACTTCTCCGAGTATATCCTTAGGTTCATGTTTCATATCCATCTGTTAACAAAAGTGATCACATGAGCTAACAAGAGCGTAGCAGAAGTAACAAAATTATCCAGTATGTAAATAAAAACTCACTCGTATTGGATCACAACCCTCTGAAATTAACTTTAGCCTTTCATCTTCTTTAACACCCATTGCTCGCGCTATGGTTTTA